CAGCTGCCGAGCTGGACCCCGCCTCGGCGGCTACTGAAGCATCGACCGCCGGAGCGCCCTCGCGCTCAGCGATCGCTCTGGAAACAACTCCCGGCGCGCTCGCCGGCATCTCCTCGATCGGCGTCAGATACCGAGAGCTAGACTGGATTGCCACCGACGGCGGTCCACGCCTGGCGTCTGAGGCGAGCTCGGCCCGCCTCCTCGACACGGGCGGGGCCTCCTCGGGAGGAATCACGCCTCCGGCTCTCCGTAGCTGTTGCCGCGAGCCTCACTAGCAGGCAGCCCATCATCATGATCATCAACCGAAGCTCGGAAGGCCCGCTAATATCCCGTCTAAGCCCTGCTCCTCTTCATCCCCCCCCTCCTGAAGACGCAGAAAGCTTCTTGAGCGTCGGACTTATTTTCGGTCAGAACGCTGATAAGCTCGGCATACGAAGTGTGACGCCAGAGCTTGTCCAACAACCCCTTTCGGGCCGTCCGAGACGGTCGCTCGGTGAACGCCTCGAGGCAAGAGGGCTTCGCACGGCTCCCTGCCGCTCCTGCCTAAAGCCACTCCTACGTAGAAAACATCCTTGTCCCGGGGTTTCAACTCCTTCCGAAACCACCCGAGGGCCCGACTGACCTCGTCGAGGTCGGCTTCCCTGCTGCGGCCCCGGTTCCAGATCCCCCGGCGGCCCCTGGAATGGAGCTGCAGCCCGCTCGCGTGACGGCCCCTTTTCGTCTGGGCCGCAAGGTCCCTGAGGGCCATGTTCCCCGGTTCGGCCCCCGACCCCAACTTCTTGATCGCTTGCTTCTGGGCCCTCTCGGGCCACTCCTCCAGCATGGACCCGGCGGGCCTTAACGCACCGCGGGGTTGTCCTCCTGATCGGGCGCGTCCTCGTCGCCCAGCGGCTTCCTCACGCTCGTCCGGTCGGCCATCCGGATCACCCTCGCCAGCTTCGTGATCTCGGCGTCGGACATCTGACTCGCTCCTGCGTGACGCGCGGCCCTCTCCCTCTCGCGCCCCCCCCCCTCTGCTCGTGAACCTCGCTCTGGGTGATCAGGAGCTGCTCGCCGAGAGCGCGCATCTGATCCAGAAGCGTCTTCATCTGCTGGGCGCGGAGCTCGGTCTGGCCTGGAGTCAGACGCGTCGCCGTCGCCCTCGGCGGTCCCGCGGCCGGCGAACTCTTGACTGCCATGAGCGGGGCGCCCGGCGGAAGCTGCGAGGGCTGCGAAGAGCCTATCCTCCGCTCAACGAACTTCCGGTCCTGGTCGGCGACGGACGCCAGCCCGCCGCGCGATGAGCTCGGGCTCCATCCAGAGGTCGCCCACTGAGTAGCCCCCCACCAGCCACTGCGCCGCGCCCCCGAGCTTGACCTTCGACTCCTGCTTGACCTGCTTGGCGTACTTCTTGGCCTCCGCCAGCGCCTCCTCCTCCGGAGTCTTGTCGCGACAGAGAAGCCCGATGGAACGCGCGCGGCAGTGGGCGCGCACGCCGGCGGCATTCATTCCCGACTTCACCACCGAAAGCGGATGGATGCATGAGTCGGGCTGCCCGCGGCGAAGCTCCACCACCTGAGGCCGCGCGCTCGCCGCCCCCTGGATCGCTATGCACGAGCGCATGATGTGAATGAACCTCAGCGCTCACCGGCGCCAGCGAAGCAAGGCCCCCGCGCCGGCCGTCAGCTGAATCGGCGTCGAGACGCCCGCTCCGTCGTAGAAGCGCTGCTTGACTGGCGCGCTCATCTCCTCCTGGGCGAGGTCCCAGTTCGGAATGTCCTCCAGCACCTCCCCCCACCCATCCGAGACCTCTTCGTCCTCGCTCTCGCGAATGGCTGCCAGGTAACGCGTTGGCCGCCCTCCGGGGGCCCCGCGCTCTGATCGACTTCAGGGTGGCGCTCTGCTTGACCATGTCGGGCAGGCTGGCCGAGTAGCGCCGCCCTGCTCGCCTGCTCGTCTGGAGCTTGAGCCAGAATGGCTACGGAGTCAGGTCTCGCGGCCTGGCCCGCTGCCCCGGGACTCCCCTTAGGCCCCCTGATACCGTTACGCCGCGAGGAGACGAAAGAGAAATCTGACTGCGCTGGCGGTTCCAAAGCCCACCCTCCCCTACGGTCCTGGCGGCAGTCCTCAGGCATGCGCTCGAGCAGCTCCTTGCCCACCTGGAACTCGTCCGGTTCGCAGTGGTTGAGTCCGACCGAGCGATGACCAGCCGCGTGCCGCGCGAGAGGTCGACGCACTTGGTCCTCCGTGCCCAGGATGACTTCATCGCCCCCGAGGTCCACGACGGCACGCAGGGCCTCGAGGTACCGAACGGGGAGTAGCGGAGGGCAGCGACCCAGCAGCACGACGAAACCCACTTCACCGTGCTTCCAGAGGCTAACCGGAAACGTTGTGGCCGCAACTCCTGGGACGCCCCCGCGCTTGACCAGGATGCGAAAGCTGCGCCGACGGAAGGCATCGATCATTACTGTCAGATCCTCGTCCCCGATCAGGGCCTGAGCGGCCGCAGTATCCAGCAGGGCGCGATCGCCCATGCACTTCGAGGAGAGGTCCGGGCGACCCCCGCTGCCCGCGAAGGTCCTCAGCGAAGAGTTCCAATGCTCCACATCATCCTCGGGGTCACCTCGCAAAAGAAACTGCGGCCGGTCTCCTTCTTGCCGCCCTTCTCGCCGTTCTTCTCGCTAGCCAGCAGTTCTGCCTTCGATCGAAACTCGCTCTTGCAGGTCTCAGCCTCGTGCCCTCGCTCACCGCAGTGCGCACACCTGGTGCGCTTCTTGATTTCCGACATCAGCATCCTCTTGAACCCCGGCATGGCAGCCCGGCGCTTGTCGAAGAAATATCAATCGACCTTCTTGGCGGCTTTCACGCGGCGAGTCTCTGCCCAGGTACGACGACGTTGCTTCCCGAGACGGTCATCGACCACGGCAGCGAAAACCATCATGACCTCATTCTCTCCTGTGTCCCCGTCCTCCTCGGGAAGCTCGACGGAGTCGTCAATGTCGGTCACGCAGCTGCTCTCCCCGTCGTCGTTTGCCTCCGGATGGGACTGAGGGTGAGGGTCCGACACTCGGTCGTCGAGCTCGGCCTGAAACGTCTTCTGCACTGGCGCGTGGGAGGTCGGCAAGATCGGTGTATCCTGAACATCCAATATTTAGAAGAACTGCCTTCATTGATGCGCTGTCCTCTCGACCTCAGGCCAACGTCTTCAGGTTGATCCGATTCTGAACCGTCAGCGACGCACCCTCCTCCAGGTATCTAGCTTTCACGCTGTCTGGAAGAGTCAGATGATGACGTTCGGCCTCCAGCATCTGTGCGCCACGCCTTATCACGTACGTTGTGAGAGTCTCCGTCGGTCGCTCCTTATCTCCAGGCCTCTCTCCATTCAACAGCGCCAGATGTTGTAGCAATATGGTCACCCCGTCGTCCCCGTTCAGCTCGATTCTCATGGTGTTGAACTGAACCTGCACGTCGACCGGGAAAGCTTGTAGAATCCTGACCGCTTGCGTGTCTGGCCTGAACCCCGTGCGCTTGGTCCATGTAGTATGTTCTCACGATGCACGTCGAAATGCTCGAAACCGAACCAGGCTGGCGGGGCGCCGTAATCTCGATTGGGGGTCGACTCCGTGGCTGTCCACGCTGAGCCCGTCCCTTTCCACGCGCTCCACCTCCAGTCGTTCTGTCTCCAACTGTCATCCTCTGCCTCTGGCCTCCACTCCCACGACCCCGGCGCCATCCTGTCCATGACGGGGTCGCCTCCTTGGACCCCTCGGAGTCGAGGGCCCCTTCGTCGGTGTGTTTCGGGGGAGCGCTCACTTCTTCCCGGTCGTTTGTCTTCGTCGTTTTCGTGGCGCCTGGCGTGCCCGAACCTCCGTCCTCGCTGAGCCCCATCGCTTCACTCCACGTTGTCCCCGACATAGCTCCGCTCACCACTGTCTCAATACAAAGGACACATGGATCAGGAAGAGAGCCGTACAGAGTGAGGGAGGGATAGCTAATCAGACTAAAAGAGCAGCACGGAACACGCTCAGGCGCCTCCAAGCCAAAGGCTACGGAAAAGGTCAAAAGAGGGTGGAACACACAAGGGGCCGCTGGGTCATCTGAGGAACAAGGGGGCGGCTTCTTGGGAGGCTGCTTCTTACGAGGCGCCGGCCCCACGCCTACAGATACGGCCCGCGCATTCTAAAAAGCCCTCCCCTCACCCCTGCCCCCCTCTGCGCGTGGCTGAGACTGGTCCAGCGGCAGTCCTTCCCTCTCGCTCAAAGTTTCTCAGAAACAACGAGAAGTCCGCTTCAGCGCGCCGAAGAAAACAGCCAACGGAGAGGCAGACTCTCCAAGGCTGGAAGGCCGAGAAGTGCCGGTCGGAGTTGTCATGATCGAGCACAGTAGTGCTGTTATTCTAAGTCCCCCGAGGACGACGGCTGGGGCTGGCCGCGGCGACGAGTCGGGCCCCACTGGGGCCACCAGGCGCGTGGCTAGCCGCGCCCGGCTGGCCATGAGAGAGCGCTCGACGGAACATGGCATGAGGAGGACAGCTCCGGCGCATGTCTACTGAAGAGGTGCAGAGACACGGCGGTGCGCTCGCAACGCGTCTGCGAATCCAGTCTCCGTTCAGAAGAAACAGCTCCTCCGCCTCCTCCTCCTCCTCCTCCGCCTCCTCCTCCTCCTCCGCCTCCTCCTCCTCCTCCGCCACCTCCTCCCCCTCCACCTTGAGGGGCGAGGATCGGGGGGGACTGGCACAGGGGGGGACCATCGACCTGAAATCGGCGACTCATCGTCGACATGCTGGCGATGGGTCCTCGATAGCGAATCCGCACGTTCCTGGGCGAGGTGGAACTACCAAACCCCCATCGACGATCAATGGGCGATTGGGGATCGGTGCGCTCCCCCCTGGGCGCCTATCCCCCCCTTTCGCTGCCCCTGACACATGGTGCGCCCCGCGGGCGGATCCTGAGCTTTTGAATAGCCCGCGTCTCCCTGGCCCATGTGATCTCGGCTCCCCCCCACCCCTCGGAATCGGGGGCCTCTTTGGCATCGCGAGCTCGTCGAGGTGGATGGTTATGAGCACCCCCTTGTCGTTGCGGTCCTTCATACAATCCCAGCCCCTCACTTGAGAATCAATCGCGGCTTAGTACTCGGAGAGAGGCACATTTGGGGTACCCGGCCCTCCAGGGAGCCTCGCTAGGCTTGGCCAAACGGTCGCCTGATGGAAGCTGGGAGGCACAGTGCGAAGTTCTAGAGGAAGCATGAACGCATGAACTAGGGAACAAGCGGGAAGAAGTGATGACTAAATTGGAGATGGCGGTTATCAATTCTGGTACAGCGAAGTGACGCGGGCAAAGTGATATGCAGCCCCAGCCCTCCTTCGAGTATGACGTGCACCCTCCTCTTGGACCACACCTTCCCTAATGACGCGATTCTAAAGCATGCCAGGGGCGGAGTAGAGGATGGATGGAAGAAAGGAACAGAGAGAGACATAGAGGGAGAGAGAAAGAAATATAGAGAGAGAAAAAAACAACAGCGTGAGGGAAAAAGAGGGAAACAGAGAGAGAGAGAGAGAGATCTTGAGAACAAAAACGAGAGAGAGAGAGAGAGACACACAAGGCTGCAAGGATCAAGTGGCTGGCCGAATCGTCCTTCTTCCAATCGTCTTTCTTCCAATCGTCCCAATCGTCCTGGAGCATGCCACGCAACACAATGTACCCGGAACTCCAAGCATCCGGAGAGGCCAATGCAACCATTCCATGGCATGGCAAGTGCTAGGGCGAACTGCTAGTCCTGTGACAATGTGCTCACTCGCCTCCTCCACTTCCACTGCGCTCGCCGTTCCTACCACTGTCTCACAATCGCCTTACCTTCCCCGTTCCGTCACCTCCAACCATGCAAGGCCAACGCATTCGAATCACTGGAAACACTCCAGAATCAACACGTATTATACAACAACTGCGTGTTATTGAAACCCTCCTGTGGCACACACGTAAGGATACGAAGATCAAGATCGGGAATGCCCAAATCTGCACGACCACTGCTTACAGAAGCCGTCGGCACGTCTGCCCATATTCAAGATATGCAAAACCAAACTAACGAAAACTGCTCACTACAATAATCGGCATCGTCTCAAACAATGCTAAGCAGCCGGTAACATCTCAGCATGCCTCTGCTGGCAATCACGACATGCTCCTCACACCACATTGCTTGGCGTTCGTCAAGGCTAGTGGTGCGACGTGTTAACGCTGTGCTAGGCGCAAGGACCATGCAACGGCTCTTCGATGAGAGCTATCGGAACGAACCACTCTTTACGCACATCGGACACTCCACGACCGTGCTAGACTGTCTTTCGGGCCACGAGGACACAGTTCCCTGGAAAATTGCCCCAGAGCAAAAGGCGTGCACAATTAAGGCGCACGCCAGTTTCGAGAAACAGGACGCGAAGTCGTACCCCCCTGTACTAATCATCGAGACATGGCAAAGCGTAACCCCTGATATCGCACGATGAAAAAGGACCTTGCGGAACCGGCATCACCAAGAGAAAGTGCAATCCTGAGTCCAGTCATCGTTCTTCCAATCCTTATCCTTCCAATCCTCGGACAACACTGCAATTGCACTAAGAAGCAACGATCAAGGGACAACACCGGCACCAACTTATCTCACCCCGATGCTGCGTGCTGCGCATCTCATGATGAACGCAATCCTGTCAGCCTGTGGGCCGACAGGTCCAGCTCTGGAGATATCATGTTTGGTTTGGGTCCTCGTGCTTGTGAAACAATCGAGAACCAAAATTGCACGCTTGAAGAGCCTGGTAACCAACAGCCTTTCAACACATTCTCCTTACACTGGTCCTGCCCCTGGCATTGCAGACATGTCTCCGTCAGCCTGGGCAAGGAGAGGCACGTTCGACCCAAGAGACGTTTTGCTTGGCAGTTGAGAATGTATGATAGACTACTTGCCATGGCAAAGAGCAATTAGGTCGAACGTGGACGCGCTTCCGTACACTGCGCAGAAGATGCAGGAGCTCCCTCCCTTCAAACTCATCAACGTGATCGTCTGCACGGCTACTGAATTGCCGAAAACACAAGACTGTGGTCACACTGGTGACGACCTGTGGGAACGGCAGTTCAACGGTAACACATCAGATGTAGTTGTAAACGCTCTGTTTCATGATCACGTCGCTCACAAGACACCTCGAAGAAAATGCAATCCTCGACCGCCTTTGGGGAACAAAATTGCAGAAACAAAATACACGCGCGTCAGCAACCGCAAATACCTAATTGAGACGCGCCCCTCCCCTATGCATGGCTCCTGCATTTGACCCTAACCCCTCGGCGTGCAGTAAGGGCTCGGAACCGGAAGGATCCTTAGGCGCTGTGCTGCTACAAGATGACTCCAAAAGGAGGGGGATGCTCTTGACGTGTTGGCCATCTTGTACACCCGCCTCCCTCTCGAGACACCCCCACTGTCTTGTACGTCTTTGCGCATGGTTGCTTGTTTGCTGTGTTGCATTGTGTTGCGTTAGCCATCGAACAACAAAAACGCACACATATGTTTCTCGGTTGGAGTATGACACGTCTGTTCCCAACCCTCCTTGGTTGGGCTTTCGTTTTGAATAGAGCACCGCGGTCGCGGCTTCCTCCTCCTCCTCCCGCCTCCTCCCGCCTCCTCCCGCCTCCTCCTGCCCTCTCTTCGCCGTCGCTGAGGAGCTGCGATCTGCGAAACTGTCGCCACTTCCGAGGGCTGCTGGTGGGTCCAGCGGCGTGAGGCACCGCGCAGACCTGAGGTAGAACTCGCCGTCCCTAGGGGACTGCGATCTGCGAAACTGTCGCCACTTTCGAGGGCTGCTGCTGGGTTCAGCGTGGTAAGGCACCGCGCAGACCTGCGGTAGACCCCGCAGTCCCTGGGGGCTGCGATCTGCGAAACTGTCGCCACGTTCGAGGGCTGCTGGAGGGTCCAGCGGCGTGAGGCACCGCGCAGACCTGAGGTAGACCTCGCCGTCCCTGGGGCGCTGCGATCTGCGAAACTGTCGCCACTTCCGAGGGCTGCTGGTGGGTCCAGCGGGGTGAGGCACCGCGCAGACCTGAGGTAGAACTCGCCGTCCCTAGGGGGGGCTGCGATCTGCGAAACTGTCGCCACTTTCGAGGGCTGCAGGTGGGCCCAGCGGAGCAAGGCACCGCGCAGACCTGAGGTAGACCTCGCCGTCCCTGGGGGGCTGCGATCTGCGAAACTGTCGCCACTTTCGAGGGCTGCTGTTGGGCCCAGCGGAATGAGGCACCGCGCAGACCTGGGGTAGACCTCGCCGTCCCTGGGGCGGCCATGTCATGCTGTTGCTGCCCCGCCCGCGTTGGACCTCGCGTCTTCCTCGCGTCTTCCTCAGTGACTCAGGGGTCCGCTTAATCATCGTTTTCCCTTGCTTGGGGACCTGCGAACCTTCCGAATGCCGCTCGCAGAAATATACGCCGCATTCTCGTCAAATCTCCCAAGCTACTCTTGCCCCGCATTGCGCAGGGGTTGGGTACGTCGCCAGGGTAAGGTTCTGTTCGCTGGAATGTAAATGTTATGTCGGTTGGACTGCGACTGTCGTTGGTTTTTGTATTCGGAAATATACACCCAGCAGATGTGGACAAGAGCGAGAGGGCGGCGGCGACGTCGGCAGCCTGCGAGACGCTGGGAAAGCCCGCCGCAAGCACCAACGTTTCACTAATCATACAACGGGCCCGCCGCAGGCGCCGATTTCGTTCGTTGAACCAATGTGGGTGGGTCGCGGGTGGGTCGCAAATTGGTCGCGGCTGGGTCGCGGGCGGACCGCTGTTGGGTCGCGGCTGGGTCGCGGGGTGGGTGGCGGGTGGGTCGCGGGGTGGTTCGCGGGTGTGTTGCGGGTGGGTCGCGGGCTGGGTCGCGGGGTAGGTCGCGGATGGGTTGCGGGTGGGTCACGGGCGGGTCGCGGTGTGGGTCGCGGGTAGGTCGCGGGTGGGTCGCGGGTGGGTCGCAAATTGGTCGCGGCTGGGTCGCGGGCGGGTCGCGGGGTGGGTCGCGGGCGGGTCGCGGGTGGGACGACGACAACACACAACAACAACAACGCAACAACGCAACAACGCAACAAGCAGAATCTTCACCACGGACCCCACTTCAGCCACGCACCCAGGGACAATGAATGACCGTTCGGCCACCAAACTCTGATCTGAACCAGTAGTCAAGCAATCAGAATTCGTGAAAACATGCGTTTGACGGTTCGTGACCATGGATTTAAGGATTCTGGGAGGGCGGCCGCCGCAATGATAGCATGAAGGGTTCAAAGTGTTCAGGTGGTTTCGAGGGTTACGAGGATTAGGAGGGTTGGTAAGGTTCAAAATGGAAAGATATGTGAGAGGGTCACGATGAACGATGGATACGAGGTTTCAAAATGTCAATATGGTTAAGCGGGCTGGGAGAGTTGCGTAGGTTAAGAACGGTATGGGGCTCAGGGGCCTCAAGGGGTTAAGAGAGGGTCAACAGGGTTGGGATGGCTAAGAGGGTTTAAAAAGATTGGGGGGGCTCTCATCCTAACCTCTAGGAACCCAGCCAAGAAATCAGGTCGTGGTTCCTCCTTTCCCTCTTGCTTCCCTCCCCGTCCTCCTCGCGCCACCTTCCTGACTCCAGCTCGATTATCGTCATTGCTCCTAATGTTCCTCCTCTTGCACATCTTTTCCTCGCTCGCCCGCGCTCCTCAGACGTCCTGTCTCCTCATTCCTCGTCCGCGCGCGCATTGCCGCTCGTGCGGCTCGGTCTGGCTGTCCAATTGACTGGCTGGGCTGGCGGCCAGTGCTGGGATGGGCTGCGCCAGACAGTGCTGCTGCTTGGTTGGCTGGCTGGCTGGCGTAGCTTGCTGATTGGGCATCATGTGATAGTGGGCTCGCTGAAACGTGCCCAGCCAGTCAGCAATGCCAGACTCGGGCTGCCCATGTCAACCCAGGCGAGGCCCAGCCCAGCGTAGCCAGCAGATCCGGTTTAGTTTCGCATTTCGCAAAGCCAGCCTGGCCAATTCATCACATCCAGCCCAACTAAGCGCTTGGCCAGCAAGCCAGACCGGCCCATCCCAGCACGGCCATCCCAGCCAGTCCAGCACGCCAGCCCAGGATATCACAGCAAAGCATTGGGTGTTCCCTGACAAAGATGAGATTGGGGACGAAGCAAAAGGATGAGCACTGGGATATCAAAGAGGAGGAGAAAGACAAGTGAGGAATCGTCATGATGATGGTGCTGCCGAGGATGATGCCGAGAAATGATGTGGATGTGGGGGGGGGGGGATACGTTTGAGAGGCAACGAACATGTGGATGATACGTATGATAACGATGAGGGTGATGATGAGGCAGAGAAGGGGGCCGAGGAGGACGGAGAGGATCAGGAGGGATGCGCATACGGTATCATAAGGATTTGATAACGCCGAGTGGGCATGATATAGCATTGAGGAATGATGGTGATGATGTCGATGATGGTGATGATGCCGATGGCGACGGTGGTGACGACGACGATGAAGAAGATTGTAGTGGTGATGGTGATGGTGATGGTGATGTTTATGGTGATGGTTATGGTGATGATGTTGACCCACTCGCCCTTCAATGTCCAAATCTCTTCAGAAAAGGCCCAAACCGCCTTTCTCTTCTCGGCGATGGCCCGCGCTCTCTCGCGGAAATCAATGGTGCAAGAGCTTCATTCCCCCTATCTCTTGTGGGCTCACAGGAAATCGACAGCAGAAGTTTCAAGAACGCGCACACGCAACAAGGATTTCGGAGCCACGGCCTTCAGAGGCGGCCGCGAGCAAAGCAGCAGTCCATTTTCGGGCGACCACGCGCAATAACCCGCGGGGGGGCCAGGGAGGAGATTGAGAAGCTGAGCGCGCAACAGCGGACGAGACACATAATGGATGACATCGTCGCCCCCCATCGCGCGGCACACGAATCTGCGCGCCTGACGGCCCTAGTGGAACCTGGCAGAAGTGCTCCATCCGCTACAGATGGATTGCAGAAGCGCAATCCAGACACAGGGGGCCAAGCTGGAGGCGACGCGCAGATAACTGAACACTTGGTGAGAATGCCTCAACCGAACATCGGCCCAGGGCTTCCTAACCCGAAGCATAAGCGCATCGGGCACAGAGGGGCGGCACTGTGAGTCTAAGAACTTCAGCCTTTAGAGGATGTTCTTCTGAAGGGGGGCCTCGTCGGGATCTGACGGGGCCGACGGGATGCACTGAGAATTCTCGCGCACCGAGCGCAGGGAGGTGGGGGGGGGTTGCCTTCCGGGCTTGCGTTTCCCAGTATTCAACAATTTGAAAGGGCGAAGTAAGTATGCGAAACGCAACCCCGGACGACTGCCCCAAGGACGGACTCCGCGGGAAACGCGTTTCCCGAAATTCGGAATTCGAACTATGGGGAAAACAATTGCCCTTAAACAACGGCACTCAATGGGCCATAATTGCGTTTCCCATTATTCCGAAGTATGGGAAACACAATGCTGGCCCATTGAATGCGGTTTTCCATGGAAACTGCGTGTCCATAGTTCGGAATTCCGAGAATTCGAAATCCGAATTCTGGGAAACCGCGTTACACATAAA